CTGAGTGTGAGGGATGGCTGCGTGCTCTGGGGAGCCAGAGTCATCGTACCAAACAAAGGCAGGGAAAAGATATTGAAAGTACTGCACCAAACACATTCCGGCATGTCAAAGATGAAAGGTCTGGCTAGATCTTATGTATGGTGGCCGGGGATGGACCAGGATGTAGAAAAGGAAGTGCAGTCTTGTGAGGAGTGCCAAAAGCACCACAAGTCACCACCATCAGCACCATTGCATCCCTGGGAGTGGCCGGAGTCTCCCTGGACGAGAATTCATGTGGACTATGCAGGCCCTTTCCTGGGAGAGATGTTTCTACTGATAGTGGATGCTCACTCAAAATGGATGGATATTTATCCAGTGAAGTCAGCTACATCACAGGTGACCATTGAAAAGCTGCGTCAGAGTTTCAGTGTTTTTGGACTGCCAAAAATGTTGGTGTCAGACAACGGAACCTGTTTTACAAGTGCTGAATTTGAGACTTTCATGAAACAAAATGGCATCCGCCATGTGAGGTCAGCACCGTTTCACCCGTCTTCTAATGGGCTGGCAGAGAGGGCGGTCCAGACCTTCAAAGGGGGGATGAAAAAGATGAAAGGTGAAACATTGCAAACTAGACTGTCAAGGTTTCTGTTCAGTTACCGCATCACACCTCACGCGACCACAGGCCTGTCGCCTGCAGAGTTGATGATGTCAAGGAGACTCAGATCTGCATTAGACCTGCTCCTGCCAGATGTGAAAACAAGAGTGCAGCAAAAACAACTAAAACAGAAACAGTCCCATGACACAAACAGGAAACTGAGAAGTTTCTCACCTGGGGATAAAGTGTTCATCAGAAACTACTCTTATGGACCTAAATGGATCGCTGCGGTCATCGAGAGCTCATCAGGTCCAGTGTCATATACAGTGATCATTGGAAGTGGTCAAGTCGTGAAGCGGCATGTGGATCAAGTAAGAGCCAGATTAACAGACACCGTCCCCTTAGAGCCGGTGCTGGACTCCAACAGAGACACTGTGGTTCCAGTGACAATCGAGCAAGAAGGACCTCCTGCAAGTGAGCCAGTGGTTCTGTGTACTCCGGTCCCGCCGGACTTGCTTGCTACACCCGTGGTGAGACGATCAGAGCGCGAGAGACAGCCACCTGTATACCTGAAAGACTTTGTTAAATAGATCAAGAGATGTTCCATTAATAGAGCAGCATAGTTCTCTGATCTCACTTTAAGGAAAGGTTTAGAATGTTAATCTTTGAAAGTGAAATGGTTCATGCCAGTACCTCGAAATGTTGTGTAACGGGAGTATGTTATACCCCCACCTTCGGGAAGTATTGTTAGCTTAAAGGGGGGGAAATGTGGTATCTTACCTTGTGTTATTATTACATGTTATTGCATTTGTCCAGCAGGGGGCAAACTCACTCTTGGTATTAAAAGAGCCTGTTGTACATGTTCCCACGAGGAAGTCCCGGAAGCATGTTACCAAAGTAAAACCAGTTAAATCTACTCTTATGTTGTGGACATACAATTATTGATCACAAGATACAACATATATAAAACCATGCTCGTATCTACAACCTATAGAAATGCAAAACGGCGTCAGTTTAGACGTAATTCTGTCCTCCTGCTTACCGCATCATTTATGAGAAAACATTTCATAACATTAACACAACATATTCGAGGTGGTTTTAAATAGCATATCCGTATTTATTTATTTCTCCAAGTTATGTTTTTGTGTGCACTGAGGAGTCTCAAACAGGCGTTTGTTTAATCATTTAAAGATTGGCTTTAATCAATGTTTGAAAATGAATTCTTCATATTTGATAAATGAGAGGTAACATTTTATTTATGGTATTATTTCCACATATTTCTCTCCATTCTTCCTTCTGCCAACGGTGTCGCAGTTTCTCGTCTCTCCCGTTTGTGTGCTTAGTGCGTACGCATGGGTTAGAGTTTGCGTGGAGGACAGCACATTTTCCCGTCAAGTTAGTATTTTATAAATCGCAAACATTGCGTAGAAACTGGCGTACGCCATTTTTTGAACGTATATCCCTTTATAAATGAGGCCCCTGGTCTCCTTTGTGTTTTGAGCTTTTTGCAGCGTTTCCTTTATGCAGCTTTTAGTAAACACTGCTCAAGTTGGTGATCATGTTTCTTCATTTCTTTGCACATGTTTTGGCACATTTGTGTTTTTATATTTGCATCGTTTCTGAAACTGCAGAGCGTTTCTCCTGATGGAAATGTTTTGGGCCGTAGTAGCGCGTTCGCTCCCGTCGGCCACCGTACTTTAAGCTTCTATTGTGACAATAAACTTGATCTAACTTGAGATTAAAAATGCAGCAGAAGCACCGGTTAAAACAGAGAAATGGGAGGAAACACCACACACACACACACACACACACACACACACACACACACACACACACACAGTATGAAAGTAACATTATATAAACGGATTAGTTTACAGTTGTGGCTTCGTGGGCAATAGTCAAGTTTCTGTCAGAAATCATTCCCTCTGGACCCCCGACGGTGTGGCACATTTATTTTTATACTGCTCAATAAAAATATGAAAGCCGAACAAGAGGAAATTAATGCAGATTGTTTTGTGATTTTCAATCAGAAATATAAAAATGGTGATTGTCCCCAAACATGGCTGCAGAGTCATGGATGAAAAATTCATTTTTGGTGTTAATTAGACGACGAATTCTGATTAATAAAGGGTTGTTTTTCAGTCTACAGCATCCTATTTAGGTTTTACAAGCTGCCAATGTAGCACAACTACCACGGGAATATAAAATAAAGGAGAATTTTTCAAAACATCCATGGTGGTTATTCAAATATCAGCGTAAAGTGACAATTATGCGACTAAAATCAATGTGACTCAATGTACTGCCACTTTGATCATTCAGAGGGACTTTCCTATAAAACCACTTGTATAAAAGTTCAAATATTATTAAATATGAAATGTTATTATCATCACTCTATATGATAAAAGGACCATGCAGTTTGACTTCACAGGAGTTGTGACACATATCTTAAAATACGATAGAAACTTGTTATTAGAACTCTTTTATGTGTAATTTCTCATCATTTTTCTTAAAAAGTTCAGGTAACACTTTAGATTAAGGTACACATATTCACCATCAACTAGTTGTTCATTTACACATTAGAGTCAAACTACTAGCTTATTGGTTATGAACAAGACTTCACTTTAAAATAGGGAATTTATTCTGAGTTAGAAAAACCTCATTTTGAGTTATTTTGACACAATTAACACTTGTAGTTTCATGTGTTGTTACATAAGAATAGACCATATTTGTTAGGTGTTATTATGAGAGTTATTAGGCCCATATTGAGCATATTAAGACCCTAACTCATGCACAACAACGTCCTTACTTACAATAAATAAGCTCTCATTAGAGGGTTATTGAGGACAAACTTAACTAATGGCTTAGTACTTGTAGAATAAGGTCATGTAGAATAAGGAATTAATTTGTGGTGTTATTTTACAATCGGTGGTCACTACCGCCATCTTGCGGTTATGGTGGGTACAACACAAAGCTGAGTATTCATTCATTTTCTACTATCAGAGGTAGAAGAAGTACTCAGATCTTGTAGTAAAAGTAGATGTACTCAGAACTTGTACTTGAGTCAAAGTAGAAGTACACAGATATTGTAGTAAAAGTAGATGTACTCAGAACTTGTACTTGAGTCAAAGTAGAAGTACACAGATATTGTAGTAAAAGTAGATGTACTCAGAACTTGTACTTGAGTAAAAGTAGAAGTACACAGATATTGTACTTGAGTAAAAGTTTAAGTACTCAGATCTTGTACTTGAGTAAAAGTAGAAGTACTCAGATCTTGTACTTGAGTAAAGTAGAAGTACTCAGATCTTGTACTTGAGTAAAGTAGAAGTACTCAGATCTTGTACTTGAGTAAAAGTAGAAGTACACAGATCTTGTACTTGAGTAAAAGTAGAAGTACCAGAGTGTAGGAATACTCGGTTACAAGTAAAAGTAAAAGTATTATCATCAAAATATAGTTAAAGTACCACAAGTAAAAGTATTCATTGTGCAGATTGGTCCATTTCAGAATAATATATATGATATATTTTATAATGATTGATCATTAAAGTGTTATCAAAGCTGGTAAAGGTGCAGCTAGTTTGAATGACTTTGTATACTGCATATACTATGTTTAAAATATTTTTAAAAGAACGGAGAGCCAGCCTCTCGTCCAACATCAGTGTGTGACCTCACTAATGCTCTTCTGGATGAAAGGGCTTCCCACAGACACACTCCAAGATCTGTAGAAAGCCTTCCCAGAAGAGTGGAAGCTGTTATAGCTGCAAAGGGGGACCAACTTCAAATGAATGCCTAAGAGTTTGGAATGGGATGTCCTGAAAGCTCCTGCAGGTGTAATCAGAATCAGAATCAGAATCAGAATCAGAATCAGAATCAGAATCAGAATCCCTTTATTAGTCCCCACAGAGGATACATGTACATTGTTACAGCAGAAAGAGCCAGAGTCAGCTTCATGTTACCTAAAGCATGCATACAAAAAAGTATTCAAGATAAAAAAAAAGAAATGATAATAGGTGTTATAGTCGGTGTTGTTGTGTGGGGGGTCTACTAGGGGTCGTGGTGGTTATATAGTCTGACCGCTGCAGGAAGGAAGGACCTGTGGTATCTCTCTAATGTGTAGGTGGTCCAATACTTTAGTCTATATTGTGTATAATTGAGTATCATCCACATAACAATGAAAATGTCCCGAGTGATTCCTTATGGCCTAAAGGAAGCGTATATAATGTGAACACAATAGGTCCAAGCTCTGAGCCCTTATGCTTTGCTCTGGCAGAACTGGCTGGATCAAATCAAACAGAACTCTAAACACATTTTCAGCTCTGCACACAATCTGCAATTCAACTCTGCACTTTCTAAAACACTGCACACGGTTCTCTGAGTAACACACAGAGATCTGACATATTCACCTGTCAGCCATTTTCAACACACTGCCATTAAACATGCTACACATATGAGCCAATGAACAGATACACATGCCAGCTGACCGTTAACGCCTGGCTGCTTTACTGCTGACTCATCAAGCAGGATATAAGTACAAGAAGTGGGATATTTATGGGAGAAAATAATATTTAGTCTTAAAGTTATGTGAAAAAAATATATAATATCCTGTAGGATTATGAAATACACAAGAAAGAAAACAAGATTTAAGTCGTTAATTCATAAGAAAAGCACTCAGATAGAAAGTCAGAAACATTTAAAATATTTGTTTAAAATGTCGTTTAAATAAAATGTCCAAAGAAAGTATTCAGACTAATTCTTATTACTGTTTTATAATTGTTTTATATATTCCTCAAATGATCTGCTTTGACTGCAGCTTGAGAAACTTCTGGATTCAGTCTGAAAGCATCCTTTTTTAACTTTAAACATGATCTTTAATAATGTTGTAGTTTAACTCTGAGAGGTGGACTGGCTGGACTCCTCACTGGGACTCTGGTTCTGGACCAGCTTGCAGGGTCCAGGAGTTCTTGGAGAGAAGGAGCGCTTCCTGCCGCAGGACTCGGGGGATGGGAGTTCCTGAACATGGAGAAACAGCTTCAGTTATTATGCTCCAAATATCTGGAACAAAGTCACAGAAAGAATGTGTCTGCAGCTCAGAGAGTCCTGCTGGGAACCCACACATGTTGAGGAGCCCAAAGTGTGATGAGAGAAATGTACAGTACGGGTCCCCAGCACATAGAGGCTGCCGGATGCTAACCTGCATATGTTGGGAGAGCTTTACAGATCAGGAGAGGAACTAAGTACATTTACTCAAGGACTGTACTTAAGTACAATGTTGAGGTACTTGTACTTTACCTGAGTATTTCCCTTTGATGCTACTTTGTACTTCTACTCCTCTACAGTTCAGACGTACATGGTGTACTTTTACTCCACTACATGTATTTAATACCTTTAGTTACTTTACAGATGTGGATGAATGATGTGAAATATAATCAAGTGTTAAATCAGACTTTAGTTCCACCTGGAGTAAATTCACAAGCTACCCTGCAGTATACAAAGTCATTCAAACTAGCTGCACCTTTACCAGCTTTGAGAACACTTTCATGATCAATCATTATAAAACATATCATATATATTATTCTGAAATGGACCAATCTGCACAATCACTACTTTTACTGTCGCTACTTTAACTATATTCTGATGATAATACTTTTCTACTTTTACTTGAGGAACATTTTGAATGCAGGACTTTTACTGAAACAGAGTATTCCTACACTCTGGTACTTCTACTTTTACTCAAGTACAAGATCTGAGTACTTCTACTTTTACTCAAGTATATTTTGATGGTAATACTGTAACAGACTGGTTATAATGTTGATGTTTTCATGTGTTTTATTCTTCAGAGTTTATTTACATTTTACAGAGTGTCAGTGAACGCGTCACTGTTTTGATAGACAGTTGTTGTGAAGAGAAACAGCCAAAATGATGAAGAGAGAGAAACAAGAGTGTTGTTTTCCTCTGAGGACATGCTCCATGAAAGAGTTTCATATCTTGATGAATGGAGGATATTCAGTACTCACAGTTCTTCTGGATCTTGGCTCTGATCGTCTCATCATTGATCCTGTAGGGATGAACACAATCCAACAGTTATGGATCCAGTTAAAAATAAGTGTTTGTTCTTTGAGTCAGCTTCAGAGTCCTGACTGATCTCATGCTTTACATCCCATCATATCTTCTCTGCAAACACTACGACTGACTGCCACAGCTCTCAGCTGCATTACAGGAAGTAACAGTCATTAGTCAAGGAACTAAAAACATCCCATCAAAAACAGACTACCTTTTCCACTCTTCTGTCAAATCCCATATGTCTGGTGGAAAGTTGATTACTTACTAAATGTGGCTTTGCATTTTCAGCTGGCCTTCTATAGTTGATGGAAGAATGAAAGAGCCTGCAGTCAGTGGGTAACATCACTGATCTGTTGTGATTCCCCAGTGAGAGAAACACCTCCCTGTGTTTCATACAATACTGCTGAACCAGCAGAGACCCCTTACTGACCTGAGGGTCTCCAGTCTGCAGTCTGGACTCTCCAGAAGATCTCTCAGCAGCTTCACATCTGAATCCTGCAGATCGTTGCCTCTCAGGTCCAGCTCTCTCAGATGGATGTTGGACTTCAGTGCTGAGGCCAGAGCAGAACAGCTGATCTCTGACAAACCGCAGCACCTCAGACTGAATAAAGAAAACATGATGAGGATACAAATCAGTTTATAATCCAATCAGATGTTACTCAACAACAACAACAACAATTATACTCACTTACTTACTTTAATAATATCATTGTGTGATTCTTATTTGCTAATGTTTATCTATATTTACTACTTCTCACTCTTCTTAGCTAAGCTTGGGGAAAGTCCTTATGAAGAAGATGTGTTGCAGTGTTGTTAGTGACTCTCTATAGGCGCGTTCACACCAAGTACTTTTCCCACAGTAGTTCCTGAGAACTTTAGTTCATGAGAGTTCTTTTAGTTCTGACGAACTAAAGCAGATCGCGTTCACACCAAAATGAGTTCCTGGGGGTGGATTAGGCAAATTAGCCGCTGACGTCACTTCTTCTTCTTCTGCTTTGGTTTTCCTGGCAGGCCGCAAACAACTTCACGGTGAGTACAGTAGGTGGCGGTATGCACCTTAAAGTTGCAATCCGCCAAAAAACCGAGAGAAGAAGAAAAAAAACTTCCGCTTCCGCTGTATGCTTGTGTTTACCTTCCGACCTCAGTCAGACACGCTATGGAGTTGACTGAAGTTGTGGTTTTGGTGCTGAGTTATTTAAGCCAATAACTCAGCCACAAATACAGATCGCGGTTTAAGAAGCCTTAACAAAAGGACTGGACGGCGACAAGCACACGCTATGGACATGTTTCGTCAGCTGAGGATGATGACCGTTATCACGCCCAAAGAACAGCAATGGTACGTTCAGTAAATCACATTAATACTATCTAATGTAGGATTTATGGAGTTATGTAGGGCTAATTTGTGTCTTTGTATGTGTTCTAGATATGCGGTGCTTGATGAAGCGAAACGACTGCAACATGGACAATATCAAAATCCAGGTGGCAGCATGTTGCGTATTGCATAACCTGTGTGAGCGTCGTGGTGATGAGTACAGGGAGGAATGGACTGCCTTACCGGCGACCCAGCTTGATGACAACCATTCATATGTTTTTGTTTATTACAAATTAAAGTAAAATATACACAAGTGTCTTGATTAAATGATTGTAGAATAAGGATTTTGGACGTTTGCCCTGCAGCCATGAATTGCATTAAAAGCAGCAAGAAACTTTGAATTGATTTCATTTTATACACATTTATATCTGAGTAGGCAATATCAATATAATCAATTACTGTAGTACATGTCATTCATTTATTTGTGATATAAATCTATGCCTAGGTGGTGCATATTCTGGAAAATCAATTGAGAAACAAAAAGAACAATCTGAAATTGTTTAAATGACTTCTGATTTGTCTGACCATAGGAAAGAGTTAGATAAGAAATAATACCACTAACATGTCTGTAGTATTGCACAGTAAATAGGCTCAGCAGTTAACACCTTTATTATATATCCTCCTATGTTCCCTTACTATAATTAATTAAAATATTGAACTCACAACACTGTTAATTACAAACTTAACCATTTATCTTTCTATAAATAGTGTTTGTGTTGATGGACGCCATTTTGAAATACAATTGAATGATCTTTTTCAAAGCCACATGTATGGGGTGGGACACAATAAATAAAGCTTCGCCAGTTTCATGGTGTCATGATGGTGTCAGAATAATCACTTACATGTGATGTATAGGATGCTACACAGGTCACCATAAAGTGTCAGGAGAAATAAGCAAGATACATTTTCTGTTTAATCGCAATGTAGGTTCTCTTTTATTTATCAGCAGCAGATCAATAAGTGTCAGTAGTATCAAAACAATATAATAACAGGGACACAACGACATCCTGACTGCAGTGGGGTTTGAACCTGTGCTCCCCTGATCCGAACACCAACGCACCAGACCACTGCACCACACGCCTCCCAACAAGTCATTGTACAGTTTATCAACGACGACAAGTTTTTCTTAATTTTTGTATTGAAGGCCTGTTGGATTTAATCAGCTCGCTTAGCACTGCCAGAAGCCCATCCTGAAAGGTATTTTGTTGCTCCACCTGGCGCGCCGACACCTCCACCTGGCGCCGCCGAGTCAGCATGGCGCTGCATCAACATGAGCAGCTGGTCGTCCGATTCCTGGGCCTTGTGTGAATGCAGCAGCCGTTCGTCGTGCATCTCCTTGGCACGCAGGTCCTCATTCTCCTTGCTGACCATGGCACGGCAGTCCATGGTGTCAAGGAAGCTGTCATCGCGTGCCCACTTTCCTAAGGTGAAATATGCAAGATACAAGATCAGTTTAATCGCAACAACGACACAACATTGTCCAAATACCAGAAGGGGAGCAGCCCATAACAGAGAGCCCCCCACGTCAGAGTCATCACTGTGGGCGATCTCCACCTCTGAGGCCCAATCCCAAACCACTCCCTCGACCCTACCCCTCCGTGACGGAGTGAACTCCGTCTGTAGCCACACTCGCAGCTCAACGAGGCTCCCTCCTGTCAGATGGAGGGAGTAAATACAGCGGCAAGCTTTGGGACAAACTCCCCTCTCTCCGGCAGAAACAGGAAATGCCGTAACTGTATGTAACAACGGTTTCAAATCAGCATCTCTTAGACAAAAAATGTAAATTATTAACTCAAATAAAACTCCAAACATCTTTCATTGTGTTACTTTTTTGTAAAGCTCTTTTAGTTTTAAACCTGATGTTTATAAGCTTCTTAGTTTTTGCAACAGTCTGTAAATATACACAACTTTATAATAAAATGCACACATTTACCTTTTTCTAGACTAAACACAGGTATGATCCTAAGTTAAAAAAATATGAGGTTATCATGAGGTTGTTAACATTGCAATTTATCAGTGGGTGTTTGCTGGAACTACTTTTTAACAGCGTGTTTCCTGACGGACACACACAGCGTGACTCCGGTCAGGTAGAGACCGGTCTCAAGTCAGCACCGATGCAGACTCGCTGTTTGAGGGCTTGATAGCCCACTCCCCCTCCACACTCGTTGGTTTGGAACAGCACTTAATGTGGCGGACCCTCCGCGCGAACGCGCAAACGGAGGGGTAGTGTGTAGGGGTAGGGTGTAGCATGTCGTTGTGTCCCCGAGACACTTCACCCCAAAGTGCTCCTGTGGGGATTGCCCACAGTATTGAGTAGGTAAGCTTTGGATAAAAGCGTCTAACAAGTGACATGTAATGATTCAAAAAGCTTTATTATAACGGTATTAGGTTAGTTGAAACTAATATTTTTGTAGTTAAACTCAACACTTTTCTTTGTGCTCCACATATCTAAATGTATAAAGTGTGTTTTCACCTCCGTTCCCTCCTGTTTGCTGCAGTATGGCAGCAGCGGTCAGGATGGGATCCTCTGTGATCAGATAGTGGTCCTGATGGTGTCCGCTGACCGGGCGCAGGCTGCCTACTCTCAGCGGGGGGGAACTGAACGTGGAAACTGTGTTTCTCTGAGGGATCCTCCATGTAGTCTGAGAAGCCTTCTGAGGAAACAAGGTCAAACTATTTAGGATAATACTATGAGAAGGAACAATGTTAAGCCAGTAAATAGAATTTCAATTACATTTCTACTTAAATGTGCAAAAATATTAGAACATCAGTCTTTGTGGCATGCAGGTAATCAACTGTTTAAGCTTTTACCATTAACATGTAGAATGAATGTTGCAAATTACTTGAAATTAGAGCAACTACAATATATTGTTTACCTCAGTGTAGCCACACAGGTCCAGCTAGCATGCTAATTGCTAACGTTATATTATCGAGTTATCCCGGAGGGGAAAACTAGTTTCTAATCCTGAGAGAAACACCTCGCCTGAAACACACGATTAGTGCCATGAGTTAGTGAAGCAAATTACAGAACATTGCACACTTATTCACAAGTCAAAACGTGTTCATAGCGGGCATGGATGAGAATAGCTAGCTAGCTAGATGTTATTATCCAGCTTGGACCTAACGTTAGCAAGTTCTACCGTGGCTAGCTCGATCTACTGAGCAAATAAAAGTACATCTAAGACCAGTATTGTGCAGATTAAAACAGTGCAGTGCATGTATTTTATTTTACCTTGGTAGTCGTCCCGACATGACTTTGCCAGGTCTGCTAACTTTGCTGATCCACTGAAAACTGCATGCAGTAGAAGCTTCTGAATGTGGCGCTTCGCGTCCTCCGAGTCAATCGCCAGAAGCGCAGACACATCCTCATCCTCATCACTCCACCGCTCCAATTGATTTATTTAGTGTTGCTATAATAACTGCTTTCACAAAAGGAATCTCTTCGTGTGTGCTGCGAAGCGAGGAAATACAATGGCCGCTTACAACAAAAAATTCTGAGTCAAACGGGCGTGGTTTGCATTCCGCACAGCCAATCAGACGTACGAACTACTTTCTCCCACGAAAGACCCTGCTCTGTGGCAGGGACTGAAAAGCGAGTCTCGCGAACTAAGTTGAGCTACTT